TACTGGTTCTTGCTCGGTCGGAAGATGGGCACTAAACAAACTGGCGCTGTCAACATCCGAAGCAGGTCCACTAACAGCGTACAGCTCGACTTGCTGCGACGACGCCTCAGCGACTATATCCTGCTCAGCAGCTGCCTCTTTCTCTTTCGCTAATCGCTCTTCGGCATTATCCACGTCAATCTTCTCCCAGTCAGCATCAATAGGCACTGGCCTCGGCGGGTAAGCAAACGCCTTGGGCTCGGCAGCTGGCGCAGGCTGGCGAGTTCCATGTTTCGGGTCGTTGGCCAATTCAATGCTCGCAGGCTTAGGGCTCATACCCAAGACCGAAACGACAATATCAGCAATGCCACGCATACGACGGCGCTTAGTCGGCGATTCTCCTTCAGTGTTCCAGGCAGTAGGCGGATACATAAGAGTGTTAGTTGGCGAGACAAGAGAAGAAGCGTTGTCTTCCTTGCCTTTAATGGACACACGAGGCGTTGACCAATCAGCCACGTGATGCGGCTCAGGTGATGAGGGCGGCGAGTCTACTAGATTGGCGCTGGGCATCCAGCCCCGCCACGACGAGCGGCGCTTGTTAAGGTCGGCGACAGTCTGGCGACGGCGCTTGCGGTCTTGGATGCGCCTGAGCCGCTGCCTGTGCGCCAGAATCTCATCGACGCTCTGCTCCTCCGCTTCGGTTGTGGGAGCAAAGTCGGCTATCGTCTGACGGCGGAGTTTCCGGCTTTGCTGGGGGGTGCTGCTGAGAGTAGTGGGCGTGGTCGTGGGCGTGGGCGTTGGCGGAGGCGTGGTCACAGAGAGCCCAGCCAGCCTGGACGATACTCCCAGCGAAAAGTCCCCGGCTACAAAGCTAGACTCGGGCGAAGTGCCCTGGATCCGGGCCTGGCGCTCAGCCTGCTCGAGCAGTACGACGTTCGACGAGGGCACAGGGGCTTCTTCTGCGGCCGCAGGGGCTTCGCTCTCGGCCTGCTGCTCCTGCTGCTCCTGCTGCAGCTGCATAGCGTCGGCTAGCCCAAGCGGCGCGGCATCAGGCACCAGGTCTTCTACGATTACCGCCGGATCGACGACTCCCCTCTCCTCCTCGGCCGGCATCTTCTTTGCAAAGAGTGTGGGCACATCCTCGCCCAGTGCAGCAGCCATTTGCGCCATCGACGCGCTGAAATCAGCAGTGCCAGTGATCGGCGCAGTGCGACGACGCTCCCTGCGCTGCGCGCTTATCGACAGCGGGCGCTTGGTGGGAGACTCCAGGTAGGGGCGATTCTGGGCCACTGCTCGCTTTACGATAAGCAACGACGGCGACGATGAAGAGGGGCTGTCCCGTTGCAGCGGGGCTCGCAGCGGGCTGTCCAGGGTCGCACGGCGTTGCTGGTGGCTGGCAGCCAGCCTGACGCTGCGGCGCCTGCGTTGGCGGCGGTCTGCGGGACTCGCGCCCAGCACTGTCGCCGACTCGATGTCAACCAGCGCTTCTTGAGCCGACTCTTCATCAG